GACGAATGTAAAGTCATATGCCATAAATATAATAAAAAATGAAACCACAATTATGGCAAACAAACACAATGACAAAAAAAGGTTGGGTGATCACAATGAAAACATAGTATATTTTTTCAAACAATATACAAATATCCAAATATTGATTCAAAGCAATTTTGAAGAATATTAAGCAAAAAACACATGCATTCATCGTAGCAATATATGAAATTCAAATCAATTTTGAAGAAAATCTTTGATGAATAACAATAACAAACTACTGAAAAAAAATAGAGCTCCTCTATACAAGCTATGAATTTTAATGAAAAACTAAGCAGATGAAGCTACAAAACAAAAAAAAACTTCACTGATAAAACTACGTTGAGTTAATGAGGTCCAATATATGAAACATCTGATTCAACAGAATTTGAAATTCAAACAAACACCAATGGAACAAGTATCAGTATCAACTCCTAAGTAAACGCTAATGAGTCGAATGATAAAAAGGTCAATTAAAATAAAAGACGTGTGAACTAAGGTCTTTTTTTTACCCAAAAGACTCTAGCAATTGTCCTTACACGCACATAACATAATTTTTCTTGTCCTTATTGCCGAAACAAATGGGGGAAATAGGACTGGCTTTCAATTTCCCGAAATAAATTTTAGCTTAGGCTCATGAACCCAAACCATCTATATCTATATATCTATCTATCTATACTACTTATATTTTTAAGCATATGTGAAAATTTCTTGATTTCTTGTTTTTCACTACTTAATAATGTTAAGTTAGTCATAACCCATATATCCTTATTAATGTCATCATTTTTCTTTCCATGTCCTATTAAAACTCTTCTTACATATAACATTAGGTTTCTAACTATTCGTTCTAGGTATTCTTATAGCTTTAGGTCTTTAATTACAATAGTAACTCCAATTGCTGTAATCGATCAACCAAAACACACTACTCATTTTAATCATTCATTTTCTCTCTCCAAAACGCAAATCTTAAAACATCTCTTTTTAGAGATGGCAATGGATAGGAGAAAAACGGATACTCGTTGGATCGAAGATAAACCATATGTATTGATGATGTATGTATATGAAGATATCCATATAAATCAGTACAAAAATAGAGGCAGAGATGGATTGAAACTTCTCTCCGCCCCTCTAAACCCGTAATAGATATACAAAATAACTAAGGTAATGTTGGTAACCATGTGTTTGCCCTTTTTGTTTGTTTTTATTTTTATTTTTGTTTTCACTTTTTGCTAAAAAAAAACAATAACATGTTTGGAGAATGTTTTTATTTTTTTTTGGTTGGTCTGTTTTGTAAACAATTCTAAATTTTAAAAACATCAAAATAGATGTTTTTAAAAACATAGAAAAACGAAAACACACGCCTCTCTTAATACCATTTAATGAGGTCTAGCTTTTGAACTCCATTATTGGCAAAAAAAAGAGTTTTTTTCATTTCCACTATAAAAGCGTTGTTTACCCATTTTTGCCTCTTCTCTCTCTCTCCTCTTCATCTATCAGACTCTTGTTCATCTCCATAAACAAAGGAACTCTCAAATCTCAAGCCAAGCTAACACTCAGATCTCAGATCTCCAGCGACAAAAGGCGCGCTCAGGTCTCAGATCTCTGGTGACAAAAAGCTCTCAGATCTCCAGCGACAAAAGAGTAACGAAAGAGCTCTCATATATCAAGCCAGCACACCATCTCAATCTCCATCAATACATAGTATATACGTAGATCTATAAGTTTGGGTTGGGGGTTTCGGTGGTGGGCGTTGAATTGGGAGTGGGTTTAGGTGGTTGTGGTTTCGGTGGTGGTCTGGGTGGGTTTCAGTGGTTGAATTAAGGTTGGGTTTTGATGGTTGTGGTGGTGGATTTCGGTGGTTGTGGTGATGAGTTTCAGTGGTGGGGTTCGGTGGTGGTGAAGGTGGTTTCGGTTGTGGTGGTAGTTTCAGTGGTGGGGGTGGGTGTGAGTTTCAGTGGTGGGGTTGGGGGTGGGTTTCGGTGGTGAGGTTGGGTGGTCAGTGGGGTGGTGTAGTGGTGGTTTTCAGTGGTGGGTTGTGGCTTGTGGGTTTCGGTGGTGAGGTTGGGGGGTGGGGTGGCCAGTGGGGTTGGATTGTGGTTTTGGGCCGTCAGTGCTTTTTGTTGGTGAGGGTTTGGGTGGTGAATATTTTGTATAATAATAAACAGGTTTTTAATTTGTTTTCACAATTTTTAAAATATAAATGACTATGTTCTATATTTTTAATTTTTATCACAAAAAAAAAAACTTTGTTCTGTTTTTTTTTTTATAAAAAAAATATAAAACGAAAACGTTACCTACCAAATGCACCCTAAGTAAATACACATTTTTTATACATATTATTTTTGTGAGTTTTTATTTTAATGCATTTGTTATATAACGAGTTTTTATCGTTTTTGTAAATTTGTTTTGTGAGGTTTTTTGATTTTTGTTTCTTAAAATCATATAATAATTGTTATAGGCAACCAAGGGGACGGAGACGGGAATTAAAATTTTTTCTGCTAGCAAGGGTAGGCAAATATTTTTGAAGTGGGTACAGAGTGGAGACTACTCCCCCCGCCCCGTCTCGGGCCAGTGTCATCTCTATCTCTCTTTCTCTGTTCTGCCTCCCTTATACGGTAAAAAAATGCCCTTCCTCTCTCTCACTCTCTACGAAACAAATCCTTTTTTCTTGGTTTGTATTATGATTTTTTTTTCTATTTGTGTTATGAGATTTATGCCAAATTTTTTTTAGTTTTTTTATTAACCTTAAAAATTAAAATTCGCAGAACATGATTGTTTGAAATTAAAAGCTCTTCAAAATTAAAGTTGATAAAATATTTCATAAGATTGATTATCACATGAAATATTAGGTGAATTAGTGACACTATCAATATCAAAAGAAATGGTAGCGAAAATTAAACATAAAAACTAATAGTTCCTTTAATCTCAGAATAAGAATAATAACTTTTTATAAAAAATTAATATTAAAAATAAAAAATGTCATTTTTAATTTTTGTCTTTAGCCTCAAATAGTCTTGAACTGTCCCCCGCCCCCGCGGTAGTTTCGAGTTGACTTTGTTTGAGACACGCACATACATGGGTTTCGACATACCCATATCCATTCAAGTTATGTTGTAATGGTTTAAAAATTTTAAGATTATTTATGTATTGTATAGAAATCATTTTCAATATGTAAAAAAAATGTAATCATTATCAATATGACATAAAGAGTAATCTCGGAATTAGGAAATAAGGATAAATAAGGGTAATCTCGGAATTAAGTTCAACAAATGACCGTTATATTATACTTCATCAGCAAGCAATTAATCTACTAATAAATTGACACAAACACAGAGAGGCTTTGGCTTTGCTTTATAAAGCAGAGGGTTCAATCTCTTTTCCCACCAAAATCAGACCCTTTTTTTCGATCTTCAGCGAAAAATCGGCCTGCTCAAAGATTTAAACTCATTCTGTTGCCTGATCTTTGTTGTATTTGTTTTCTTTTTTAGCCTTCATTGAATCAAATATATCAAAGTTCATTGTTGTTGTATCGGCGAAGAAAAGTAAAAAGGAATTGTGGTTTTGGATTGGAATTTTGCTGCAGCTACTGGAAGACTCGGTGGTTGTTTGATCTGTGTTGGATTGATTTTGCATTCTTTGGAGGAATCGGAAATCGATCGAGACGTCACTGAAGCTTCTGATCTGAATATTTTCAAGAATGGTATTGAATATTGTTCTTGTTGGTGGTTCGTCATAGCATAGTTTCCATTAATCTTCCATTGGAAATTTGGATGAATTCTTTTTCTTATTGTTATTTATTACTGATCTATCTTAGTTTCATCAGGATTTGTTCTACTTGGTGGATATTAATGGAATCCACTTTCGTTTCCATAGTGCCTGTCTCTGTTTGCTGCTGTTTCTTGAATCTTTATCGAATCTTGAGTTCAAATATTGGCTTTGAACAACCATGGCCAAGTAGCGTATAATTTATCAAGTCTTGGACTGGTGGATTTGGAGGTGATACTTTTTTGAGGTGCGTGTGTGTGCGTGCTTATGGCTTTTCTTCGAGTTGTTTCATCACAAGTATGTCGCCGAAGTCAAAACCCTGGTTGTGGTGGTTTGATATTCTTTTGGCATTGCTCATATATGTTTCAGGATGTCCCCTTATCTCTTGTATATGGCATATTAGCAGTTTTAATGACTGTCTCATCTTTCAAAGACACTTAGTCTTTTGTTGCACTAGCCAGTATGGTAACTTTTATTGTTCACTTTGCTGTTCTTAGAAGCTCTCCAAGATGGTTAATGTTTAGATCTTCAACACATTGAATGCATTTTGATTTGGCATCCTTTTGGTATGTCACCTAAGGAATAGAATATTTTCATGAATATTGCATGGAAGTGGGACACTCAAGAAACTGAATTATTTGTCTGGCTTCAGTTTCTTGGGGATTTTAGAGATAGAAAGGCCGGCTTGGAAAGCTAAGTTTCAGCAACAAATTTACAGCTCCTTCCTCAACATTCTTAGCCTTTGCACAGTAATTTAGGATCCCCATGGTAGTAGCAGAAACCCAGAAAGATTTGTTTTCTATTGTTTTTGTTGCAAACGACAACTGTCAAGTTGGAAATTTGAATAAGAGGGCGAGCATTCTGCACAACTAATGGCAAAGGCTAGACCTGTACACAACCCACCATTTCCACCAACTTCAATTTAATGGGATCAAGCAGTGTAATAGCTTGATGGCTTGCCATTGACATCTTGTTGGAATCTGTTGTTCTGATTAAACTGAATCCTTAGAAGTAAAGGTGCTGAATTACTTTTCATGAAATAATTTTACTGTTTTGATATGATCCCAGTCTCTCTCTGTTCAGAAGTTTGTGTGAAGATTTCCAAGGCTCAAGACCTTATAGAATGTTTCCCATAGAATAATAACCTCACTGAAAGTTTTATAGTCATAGTTGTTATTCAATTGGTTCTGGTTTTCTTGTTTTTTGGAGTGCGCCAATGGACTCAGTTCCGGGCTTAGTAACTGCTTCCTCTTATATTAACTGTCTGAAATATATGAAAAAGTGTTATAGGTTGTTTTGGTCAGCTTAGCGGTTGGATCTCTTGCGTGGTGAAGGATCCTGATGTAGCTTGGGTAGATTGCGAAGTTGTGGACGCTAATGGTGAAGACATTAAGGTTCTTGTGAGTATTCTACATCACTACTTGAAATTGATATTTAAAGCGTATATGGTATATCTGCTTCAACTGGTTGTTATTCTCGAAATGCTGAATATCAACTTGTAATTCATTTTTGTGGTTATTTTATGTTTGTATGATTCTCTCTCGGTGGTATCTTACCACTCCCATTTCAGGTTTGGTTAGGGTTCCCAGATGGAATATATACATCCACTTTCATAGCGTAGCTGGTGTGTTACTGGAATAACTGCTGTATTCTTTTGTATTGTCTCTTAGCAGCACCTTATGTTGTAGTTGTTCTTTTAAGCTTTCCTTTGTGTTGTGACTTCTTTCTTCTCTACAAATGGTAGCCACAGGTCAGTAGAGCAGGTGTATCGTTTTCATAGCAGGAATCCACTTTCGTTTCCATAGTGCCTGTCTCTGTTTGCTGCTGTTTCTTGAATCTTTATCAAATCTTGAGTTCAAATATTGGCTTTGAACAACCATGGCCAAGTAGCGTATAATTTATCAAGTCTTGGACTGGTAGATTTGGAGGTGATACTTTTTTGAGGTGCGTATGTGTGTGTGTGCTTATGGCTTTTCTGCGAGTTGTTCAGGGTGTTGTTTCATCACAAGTATGTCGCCGAAATCAAAACCCTGGTTGTGGGGGTTTGATATTCTTTTGGCATTGCTCATATATGTTTCAGGATGTCCCCTTATCTCTTGTATATGGCATATTAGCAGTTTAATGACCGTCTCATTTTTCAAAGACACTTAGTCTTTTGTTGCACTAGCCAGTATGGTAACTTTTATTGTTCACTCTTTGCTGTTCTTAGAAGCTCTCCAAGATGGTTAATGTTTAGATCTTCAACTCATTGAATGCATTTTGATTTGGCATCCTTTTGGTACCTAAGGAATAGAATATTTTCATGAATATTGCATGGAAGTGGGACACTCAAGAAACCGAATTATTTGTCTGGCTTTAGTTTCTTGGGGATTTTAGAGATAGAAAGGCCGGCTTGGAAAGCTAAGTTTCAGCAGCAAATTTACAGCTCCTTCCTCAACATTCTTCAGCCTTTGCACAGTATTTTAGGACCTCCATGGTAGTAGCGGAAACCCAGAAAGATTTGTTTTCCATTGTTTTTGTTGCAAATAGTCAGTGCATGGTGTGATGGTAAAATCAGACACCGACAACTGTCAAGTTGGAAATTTGAATAAGAGGGCGAGCATTCTGCACAACTAATAGCAAAGGTTAGACCTGTACACAACCCACCATTTCCACCAACTTCAATTTAATGGGATCAAGCTGGGTAATAGTTTGATGGCTTGCCATTGACATCTTGTTGGAATCTGTCGTTCTGATTAAACCAAACCCTTTGAAGTAAAGGTGCTGAATTACTTTTCATGAAATACTTTTGCTGTTTTGATATGATCCCAGGCTCTCTCTGTTCAGAAGTTTGTGTGAAGATTTCCAAGTTTCAAGACCTTATAGAATGATGATCTTATGGAATGTTTCCCATAGAATAATAACCTCACTGAAAGTTTTATAGTCATTAAAACGCTGTGTGTGTCTAGGTATGAACGTGAATGATAATAGTTATTATTCAATTGTTCAATTGGCTCTGGTTTTCTTGTTTTTTGGAGTGCGCCAATGGACTCAGTTCTGGGCTTATTAACTGCTTCCTCTTATATTAACTGTCTGAAATATATGAAAAGGTGTTATAGGTTGTTTCGGTCACAGCTTAGGCTTTCGATCTCTTGCTTGGGTGAGGGATCCTGATGTAGCTTGGGTAGATTGCGAAGTTGTGGAGGCTAATGGTGAAGACATTAAGGATCTTGTGTTGTGGGTATTCTACATCACTACTTGAAATTGATATTTAAAGCGTATATGGTATATCTGCTTCAACTGGTTGTTATTCTTGAAATGCTGAATATCAACTTGTAATTCATTTTAGTGGTTATTTTATGTTTGTACGAAATTTTGACAGGTGGAAATTTGTCCAACAACTTTTTGTTAAATCATTTCCCTAAAATTATTATAGGTATTTTTGTTGGTTCAGAAACAAATATGCAGATGTTGATGATTCTTCGACTTTGGTCATTTCTTTCTTTTGTTAAATTTAAGTTACAGGTTCTCGTTAAAACTTCTTGGATTTGTCCAAAAGATGATGAATTACCACCATGTGTAGCGGATGAAATGACAAAGCTGGCTTATTTGAATGAGCCAGGACTTCTGCACAATTTAAAATCGAGATGTGATATCAATAAAATATGTGCCAGTATTTCCCACACTTCATTTGATGTTGGAAGCTTCTGTTTCAACATTTTCTTATTTAATTCAAATGTTTTGAAGCTAATCAACTTGATAGTGCTTCCAGACTTACACAGGAAATATAATACTTACTGTGAAGCCTTTCAGAAAATTGCCTCATTTATATGATAGTCATATGATGACGCAGTACAAAGGGGCAGCCTTCGGTGAACTGAGCCCCCTTCCTTTTTCTGTTGCAGATGCAGCATATAGGTACATTGTCACGATCATGAGTTCATAATTCGGTTGCCTTCACTTTTCTTTTCAATGATTAAGGCCAATTATGTGGATGCAAAGTTATGATCAATTAGGGAATCAGTTAGTCAATTTTGGTTAGTGGTGAGAGTGGAGCAGTTACAACAGAAAGCACAAAATTGCTTATGTGGTATCTTGCTTACATTGTCGAGCAGCAAGTCCCGGAGGTAAGCCTTGCATTTCAGTCCGTCCAACAACTTAGACGCGAGACTGTGTCATGCTGAGGCCAGGTTTGAACTCTTTCACCACATAATTTAGTTCCTTAATTGGGTATAATATGTATTTTGGCTGTGTTTCATTTGTTTTGCAGTCAAATCCTGTTCTAGAAGCATCCGGTAAGGCGAAGACAGTCAGAAACAACAACTCCAGGGGGGAAAATTTTGCAGTTACAATGTAACTTCTGTATATTGTGCAAAGTTTCTCTAATAATTTCTGGTTGAATTGTTTCCTTCTACCCCTTCATGTGGAGTATTTTGCAGTCATTTCAGTAAGCTTATGGAGATTCAATTTGACCAGAGAGGAAGGATTTCAAGAGCTGCTATCAGAACTTACGTGCTGAAAAAATCTCGTATTTGTCAAGTGTCTGATCCTGAATGGAACTATCACTGCTTCTACATGCTTTGCACTGCACCACCCGAGGTAACAAGTCTTTATTTGCTTCACCAAGACTTCATAAAAAAAGATTAAATGTATGCTTGTAGAGCATTACATTTTTTATATAGTTGTATTTTATCTTAACATAGAATTTTCATTCTTAGTTATCACATGATACATGGGAAAGTGATGCCCAAAAAAATATATGTAGCCGACCCCAATGTTGAGCAGCAAATGCTTTCCCTTACTACTGATATTGATCTAATATATTAATCCTATGTATGTAGCATGTGGAGTCTTGGTAATATTCAATATTCAAGGGGATAAAATTGGTAGTCTTTGTAGATTCACATTCTATATCAGTTGGTATTACAGGTGGTCATGGGGAATTATTAATGCTGTTATTCCTGGTAAGAATGACAAATTGTGATTATTCACTGTCCTCTGCTTTCATTGGTTTTTATAGCGTAGCATTTTCTTTGTTCTTCCTAATGAAAAATAGCAATTCTATGGCTAGCAGGTGAACTACAGTTTGATTCTTTGTCCACTTTCAGCTTTGTTCAGTCTCATTTGTGGCTTAGAATGCTATGATGGGGGTGGTCCTAAAAAGAAGTTTGTAGCCTTATTTGGACTTAAAAATTTTGTGGGGTCTAGCATAAGTCCTTTCTTTGAGGAAAGTACTTATAACTTTTCTTTTCAATATGGTTTTTCAGAATGTCGACAGGGAAAGTACTGACCTTGGGATGGAGTTTTTCAGTCATGGACAGCTGATGTAGAACGTGTGATGAAACACACTTATACAAGCCCTGCTACATGAAATGATATAGCAGAATACTCCAAAAACTGGTGCTAGAGTCTCCCAATCTTAGATGTATACTGTGCTTAGATTAAGTAAATTTTGTAGATCAAGGAACTTAGTATGTGGAATGAAGGATTGATATTGGCAAGGTTTTTTGAGGTTCAAGAAATTAATAGGGGTTCTGATACTGTACTTTATAGAGAGTGGCTATGTTGACATGTTGGGTGTTAAAAAGGGATTAGTGCATATTGAAGTTAGGCTAATTAAAGATTTATAAGTGCTCTGTTCCAGAGATGAGGCTTGTCAAGGTAGGATTTCTAACGTTTTGAAGAGTCACTACCAAGGTCCGGTTGCAGGATGATGAAGTGCAGAAATTAGGAAAAAGGGGAATAAGAAGCGAAAAGAAAAGGTAGAGGCAGATAGGCATCACATATCGGTACTCTTAGGGATCATGCCTAGTTCTATAATCTCCTCACATAATCCCAAGAGAGCTTCTAAGACTAAAAGTTGTTGAATCTTCATTAAGCTGATATGAATTGAGCTTGAAAGGGAACATATATATGGATACCAGGCATCTTCACTCAAATTAGGGAATCATTCGGTCAATTTTGGTTAGTGGCAAGAGTGGATCAGGTAAAACAGAAAGCACAAAATTGGTCATGCAGTATCTTGCTTAGGTGGGAGGCAGAGGTGCATAAGTCCTGGAGGTAAGCATTACATTTCAGTCTGTTCAATAAGCTTTGACGAAGGACTGATTCATTCTGAGGCCAGATTTTAGATCTTTCACCACCTAATTTAGTTCTTTAATTGAATACAATATGTGTTTTGGCCGTGTTTTCATTTGTTTTGCAGTCAAATCCTGTTCTAGAAGCATTCGTTAATGCAAATTCAGTCAAAAACAACAACTCCAGGTGGGAACATTTTGCATTTACAGTGTAACTTCTGTATATGTCGCAAAGTTTCTCTAATACTGTTTGTTTGAATTGTTTTCTTCTATCTCTTCATGTTATGTACGTTGCAGTCATTTCGGTAAGCTTGTGGAGATTGAATTTGACCGGAGAGGAAGGAGTTCTGGAGCTGCTATTATAATTTATCAGCCGAAAAGGTCTCGTGTTTGTCAAGTGTTCGATCCTTAGAGGTACTATCATTGCTTCTACGTGCTTTGCTCCGCACCACCTGAGGTAACAAGTCTATATTTAGTTGACCTATCTTAGTTTCATCAGGATTTGTTCTACTTGGTGGATATTAATGGAATCCACTTTTGTTTCCATAGTTCCTGTCTCTGTTTGCTGCTGTTTCTTGAATCTTTATCGAATCTTGAGTTCAAATATTGGCTTTGAACAACCATGTCCAAGTAGCATATAATTTATCAAGTCTTCGACAGGTAGATTTGGTGGAGGTGCGTGTGCGCTTGCGGATTTTCTGCGAGTTGTTAAGGTTGTTGTTGCATCACAAGTATGTTGCCCAAGTCAAAACCCTGGTTGTGGGGGCTTGATATTCTTTTGGCATTGTTCATATATGTTTCAGGATTTCCTTTATCTCTTGTATGTCATATTAGCAGTTTTAATCACTGTGTCATCTTTTAATGACACTTAGTCTTTTGTTGCACTAGCCAGTATGGTAACTTTTAGGGTTCACTCTTTGCTGTTCTTAGAGGCTCTCCAAGATGGTTAATGTTTAGATCTTCAATACATTGAATGCATTTTGATTTGGCATCCTTTTGATATGTCACCTAAGGAATAGAATATTTTCATGAATATTGCATGGAAGTGGGACACTCAAGAAACTGAATTATTTGTCTGGCTTAAGTTTTTTGGGGATTTTAGAGATAGAAAGGCCGGCTTGGAAAGCTAAGTTTCAGCAACAAATTTACAGCTCCTTCCTCAGCATTCTTCAGCCTTTGCACAGTATTTTAGGACCTCCATGGTAGTAGCAGAAACCCAGAAAGATTTGTTTTCCATTGTTTTTGTTGCAAATAGCCAGTGCATGGTGTGATGGTAAAATCACACACCAACAACTGTCAAGTTGGAATTTGAATAAGAGGGCGAGCATTCTGCACAACTAATGGCAAAGGCTAGAGCTGTACACAACCCACCATTTCCACCAACTTCAATTTAATGGGATCAAGCTGGGTAATAGCTTGATGGCTTGCCATTGACATCTTGTTGGAATCTGTCATTCTGATTAAACCGAATCCTTAGAAGTAAAGGTGCTGAATTACTTTTCATGAAATACTTTTGCTGTTTTGATATGATCCCAGTCTCTCTCTGTTCAGAAGTTTGTGTGAAGATTTCCAAGTTTCAAGACCTTATAGAATGATGATCTTATGGAATGTTTCCCATAGAATAATAACCTCACTGAAAGTTTTATAGTCATTAAAACGCTGTGTGTGTCTAGGTATGAACGTGAATGATAATAGTTGTTATTCAATTGTTCAATTGGCTCTGGTTTTCTTGTTTTTTGGAGTGCGCCAATGGACTCAGTTCTGGGCTTATTAACTGCTTCCTCTTATATTAACTGTCTGAAATATATGAAAAAGTGTTATAGGTTGTTTTGGTCACAGCTTGGCATTGGATCTCTTGCGTGGGTGAGGGATCCTGATGTAGCTTGGGTAGATTGCGAAGTTGTGGAGGCTAATGGTGAAGAAATTAAGGTTCTTGTGAGTTTTCTACATCACTACTTGAAATTGATATTTAAAGCGTATATGGTATATCTGCTTCAATTGGTTGTTATTCTTGAAATGCTGAATATCAACTTGTAATTCATTTTTGTGGTTATTTTATGTTTGTATGAAATTTTGACAGGTGGAAATTCGTCCAACAACTTTTTGTTAAATCATTTCCCTCAAATTAGTATAGGTATTTTTGTTGGTTCAGAAACAAATATGCAGATATTGATGATTCTTCGACTTTGGTCATTTCTTTCTTTTGTTAAATTTAAGTTACAGGTTGTCGTTAAAACTTCTTGGATTTATCCAAAAGATGATGAAGTACCACCATGTGTAGCGGATGAAATGACAAAGCTGGCTTATTTGAATGAGCCAGGACTTTTTCACAATTTAAAATCCAGATGTGATATCAATAAAATAAATGCAAGTATTTCCCACACTTCATTTGATGTTGGAACCATCTGTTTCAACATTTTCTTATTTAATTCTAATGTTTTGAAGCTAATCAACTTGATAGTGCTTCCAGACTTACACAGGAACTATAATACTTGCTATGAAGCCTTTCATAAAATTGCCTCATTTATATGATAGTCATATGATGACACAGTACAAAGGGGCAGCCTTCGGTGAACTGAGCCCCCTTCCTTTTGCTGTTGCAGATGCAGCATATAGGTACGTTGTCACGATCATGAGTTCATAATTCGGTTGCCTTCGCTTTGCATTACAATGATCAAGGCCAATTATGTAGATGCAGAGTTATGATCAATTAGCGAATCAGTCAGTCAATTTTGGTTAGTGGTGAGAGTGGAGTAGTTACAACAGAAAGCACAAAATTGCTTATGTGGTATGTTGCTTACATTGTCAAGCAGCAAGAGCCGGAGGTAAGCCTTACATTTCAGTCCGTCCAACAAGCTTAGATGCAGGACTGCGTCATGCTGAGGCCAGGTTTGAACTCTTTCACCACATAAGTTAGTTTCGTAATTGGGTATAATATGTGTTTTGGCTGTGTTTCATATGTTTTGCAGTCAAATCCTGTTCTAGAAGCATCTGGTAAGGTGAAGACAGTCAGAAACAACAACTCCAGGTGGGAAGATTTTGCATTTACAGTGTAACTTCTGTATATTGTGCAAAGTTTCTCTAATACTTTCTTGTTGAATTGTTTCCTTCTATCCCCTCGTGTGGAGTATGTTGCAGTCATTTCGGTAAGCTTGTGGAGATTCAATTTGACCAGAGAGGAAGGATTTCAGGAGCTGCTATCAGAACTTACGTGCTGAAAAAATCTCGTATTTGTCAAGTGTCCGATCCGGAATGAAACTTTCACTGCTTCTACATGCTTTGTGCTGCACCACCCGAGGTAACAAGTCTTTATTGGCTTCACCAAGACTTCATAAAAAAGACTAAATATATGCTTGTAGAGCATTACATTTTTTATATAGTTGTATTTTATCTTAACATAGAATTTTCATTCTTATTTATCATATGATACATGGGAAAGTGATGCCCAAAAAAATATTTGTAGCCGACCCCAATGTTGAGCAGCAAATGCTTTCCCTTACTACTGATATTGATCTAATATTTTAATCCTATGTATGTAGCATGTGGAGTCTTGGTAATATTCAATATTCAAGGGGATAAAATTGGTAGTCTTTGTAGATTCACATTCTATATCAGTTGGTATTACAGGTGGCCATGGGGAATTATTAATGCTGTTATTCCTGGTAAGAATGCCAAATTGTGATTATTCACTGTCCTCTGCTTTCATTGGTTTTTATAGAGTAGCATTTTCTTTGTTCTTCCTAATGAAAAATAGCAATTCTATGGCTAGCAGGTGAACTACATTTTGATTCTTTGTCCACTTTCAGCTTTGTTCAGTCTCATTTGTGGCTTAGAATGCTATGATGGGGGTGGTCCTAAAAAGAAGTTTGTAGCCTTATTTGGACTTAAAAATTTTGAGGGGTCTAGTATAAGTCCTTTCTTTGAGGAAAGTACTTATAACTTTTCTTTTCAATATGGTTTTTCAGAATGTCGACAGGGAAAGTACTGACCTTGGGATGGAGTTTTTAAGTCATGGACAGCTGATGTAGAACGTGTGATGAAACACACTTATACAAGCCCTGCTACATGAAATGATATAGCAGAATACTCCAAAAACTGGTGCTAGAGTCTCCCAATCTTAGATGTATACTGTGCTTAGATTAAGTAAATTTTGTAGATCAAGGAACTTAGTCTGTGGAATGAAGGATTGATATTGGCTAGGTTTTTTGAGGTGGTTGGTTCAAGAAATTAATAGGGGTTCTGGTACTGTACTTTATAGAGAGTGGCTATGTTGGCATGCTGGGTGTTAAAAAGGGATTAGTGCATATTGAAGTTAGGCTAATTAAAAATTGATAAGTTCTGTGTTCCAGAGATGAGGCTTGTCAAGGTAGGATTTCTAACGTTTTGAAGAGTCACTACCAAGGTCCGGTTGCAGGATGATGTAGTGTGGAAATTAGGAAAAAGGGGAATAAGAAGCGAAAGGAAAAGGTAGAGGCAGATAGGCATCACATATTGATACTCTTAGGGATCATGCCTAGTTCTATAATCTCCTCACATAATCCCAAGAGAGCTTCTAAGACTAAAAGTTGTTGAATCTTCATTAAGCTGATATGAATTGAGCTTGAAAGGGAACACATATATGGATACCAGGCATCTTCACTCAAATTAGGGAATCATTCGGTCAATTTTGGTTAGTGGCGAGAGTGGATCAGGTAAAACAGAAAGCACAAAATTGCTCATGAAGTATCTTCCTTAGGTGGGAGGCAGAGCTGCATAAGTCCCTGGAGGTAAGCATTGCATTTCAGTCTGTTCAACAAGCTTAGACGAAGGACTGATTCATTCTGAGGCCAGATTTTAGATCTTTCACCACATAATTTAGTTCTTTAATTGAATACAGTATGTGTTTTTGGCCGTGTTTTCATTTGTTTTGCAGTCAAATCGGTTCTAGAAGCATTCGGTAATGAAAATTCAGTCAAAAACAACAAATCCAGGTTGGAACATTTTGCATTTACGGTGTAACTTCTGTATATGTCGCAAAGTTTCTCTAATACTTTCTGGTTTAATTGTTTTCTTCTATCTCTTCATGTTATGTATGTTGCAGTCATTTCGGTAGGCTTGTGGAGATTGAATTTGACCGGAGAGGAAGGAGTTCACGAGCTTCTATTAGAACTTACCAGCCGAAAATGTCTCGTGTTTGTCAAGTGTCCGATCCTAAGAGGTACTATCATTGCTTCTACATGCTTTGCTCTGCGCCACCCGAGGTAACAAGTCTCTATTTAGTTGACCTAGATTTGCTTTATAGTAAAGAATAAATACATGCTTGTAGAGCATTTCATTTTTTATGGAGTTGTTTTTTTATCTTAATATAGAATTTTCATCCTTGGATATCACATGATACATAGCAAAGTGGTGCCCAAAAAAATATGTGTATCCAACCCCAGTGTTGAGCAGTAAATGCTTTCTGTTACCACTAATTTATATAATAAAGTAGAGAAGTTTTTGAATCAAACCGCAGTGTTGAGCAGTAGATGCTTTCTGTTACCACTAATTTATATAATAAAGTAGAGCAGTTTTTGAATCAAAAGACAAGAAGTGGCTTAGATCGTCATTCGACGGGCTACATTACGCCAACATGAAACGTAGTTCAGATCATCTCAAAATTACTAATTCAATGAGCCATCATGAGTCTAGAAATATTTTTTCCTGCCAAAAACTTTCCATTTTGTTACCCTTGGTCAGGCCTTCAATCACTCCCCAAGGTTCGCATCAAAATCTGCTCTCTGTCTCCCCTTTATCTCTTTTCTTAGTCAACTTTCTTACACTCAATTTCTATCTCGCATGCCTTTCTCAAATCATCTTCCTCTCTCCCCCAAATATGCTTTCCAAACTACGACCTATGGTTGTGCCCTGAAATTCTCTCTCCCTCTCTCACGTTCACTTTCTCCATTCGCTCATGATCATTTCCCCCTATCTCTATTTTCTCTCTACCTTCTTCCTTATTGCGCCACTGCCTAATCCCCCACAATTAAGCCTTCAACAAGAAGCAGTGACACATCTCTTCTCTTGGTTCACCGCCAGTGACAACTCCCCCTTATCTCCTCTCTCTCTGTGCCACTGCACATCTGCTGCCAACAACAGCTAGTAGCTGCCCAACCACTGTCTATTTCGGGTATCCTTCTCAATCATCTCCTCTTTCTCTCTTTCTCATGGATCTCCTCTTTGTCCATCTCTTTCTATGTGCTCATGTTCATCTCCCTCTACCTCTATTTTCTCTCTACCATTTTCTCTATTGCGTCGCTGCCCGATCCCCAGTAGTGACACATTTCTTCTATCGGTTAACCGCCAACGACAACCGCCCATTATTCTTCTCTCTCTGTGCTGCTGCATATCCACTGCCAACAACAGCCTGCAGCTGCCCAACCACTACCTATTTCAGGTATTCTTTTCAATTATCTCCTCTCTCACGCATCTCCTATTTGTCCTTCTCTTTTTCTATGCCCTTATGATCATCTTCCCCCAACTCTATTTTCTCTCTACCTTCTTCTCTATTGTACCGCTGCCCAATCCCTAGCAGTGACGCATATCTTCTTTCTGTTCACTGCTAGCGACAACCGCCCCTTATCCCTCCTCTCTCTGTGTTGTTGCACATTCATTGCCAACAACAGCCAATAGCTGCCCAGCCTCTGCCTATTTCAGGAATCCTTCTCAATCGTCTCCTCTCTCTCTCACGCATCTCCTTTCTCTTTGTCACGTATCTCTTCTCCCTCAATCATCTTCTTTTCTCACTTTTTCTCCATAATCATAACCTCACTCGACAGCCCCTTTCCTGTGTCTCCCAACTTCTGTGTACTATCTGTACGACAAATTGTCAAAATAATATTTTTTTTGTTTCAAAAAGTTCCTTCAGCCCTTTGCTTATGGACAGTGGACTATTTTTTATGCTTTTTAATCTCTTTTGCTTGCTAAAATGCACCAAGTGGATAATTGTGTTAGCTGATCTTAAGATTGGTTTATCTGATTTAATTATTTTCGGATTTGAAATTGACTCGGGTCTAAGTTGTGTTTGCGAAGTTCGGTATTGTTGACTTCATTTATGGTCATCGAAACTAAGTTCTTCATGTATGCTTTAAATTGATTTTATTATTTTGTTTTTATTGTTGACTTCATCTATGCACCATGGATATCTTTGCTTCTTCAACATGGATATCCTTTTCTAACATACATTATATGTGATTCTTGCCTCCATCGCACCAATGTTAATTGGTTCTGTGCAGCTTTGGGTCCTTTGTCCTCGTTGTACCTTTTTCAGGTGCTACTG